GTATAATGCTTTTAAGTAGTATAAGTAAAGCATAAGGGTGACACTAGTATTTTTTTTAACTACAGACTTCCACGCTTTGTAATATATTTTTACTCTTTTACTCTTCGGATTAAGAGCTGAGATTCTTACAGATATCATATGATATAAGATCGTCAAGCGTACAGGAATTGCTTCGCGAGTCATAGCAATAAATGAGCGTAAAGTACGAGCTAGCGATTAGCATAAATTAACGTTGTTTACCCGTACGTAATAATTCTTCGTAACGTATCGCGAGCGTGATTTATCGTAACGAAGGATCGCGGGAGATACGCGTGTCCCGGGGCAGAGCCGAGAGGGGAATAAAGAGAGAAGATAGAAGACTGCCGGATGAAATATGCTGGCGACTTCTGCAGCGTTAGAATATCCCAACGATGCATACGTGCCAGAGTTAACGGTACGTTGCATTCCCCTCTGCATCGCATCAGCCCTTTCGCCCATCGGCCATTCCTCGATGCATGGCCCACAGTGCTCGTGTTATCGGTTCTTGTAGGTAAGTCTGATTACATAGCGCGATAACAAGCTTGCCAGAAGGCTGATTGGTCTATGGTGTTCAAAGATACTTAATTCGTTCAGAATAATAGACTCCTGGGCAACAAGAATATTATATCCAGTTTCGCTTATTATTCGGTCCCCGGAAGAACGGGTACCCGAAATTTTCGACCGAAAATTCCTGACACGAATTTTAAGCTACCCGTACACCCTTAGCCAATACCAATATAAGGGTTAATTGTTTCAGACGACTATTGTACTTTTGTCAGAGGGCCGAGTGTTTACGAATGGTCCGCCATAATGGCAGTTCATACGTAAAGATAGTAATCGGCTATTATAGCGAGCTTTCGTAATATAAGGAGGTGGTCGAAACGCGACACCGGGACCCCACCCAGGTGTGCGACGAAATGGATTGCGCCGCTCGAAGGGAGTCGAATCGATCGTCAATCAAGCCAGGCTCAGCGATAATTGACCGAAGAAGAGGGTCGCCATGGGCCGAAAGAAGGATCGAAAAAAATTAAGGAGACGCGAATAACAGACGGCGACGAAGATGATGACGAAAAATAAAGATCGACCGGGGGAAAAAGGGGAAGAAGAAGACGAAGAAGGAGCTACGAGTGAGGAGGAAAAAGAGGAAGAATAAAACGGGGAGTAACGGTAAAGGAGAACGTGAGCGCGATTTCGATGCTTTCGGAGCAACGAGGATACGTCAAAGGTATCCGGAGGACCCCCCGATCCAAGATACCTTCCAAGGTACCGTCCACCTTTCCTCTGGCTCGCTTACTGGCCCATCCTTCCTTCTCTCTTTCTCATATACTCTTCTGTTGGTATCTGGTCAAGAACGAGCTTTGATTTAGAACACGCCACGATTGCCGGCGTCGGCCTCTGTTGTGCCGCAAAAACGGCCACTGCTTAACCAACCGAGAGCGAACCGCCGCGCGCCGCGCCGGTCCCAGCGCCGGTTCACTTTCCCACTGGGCCGTATATGGCACAACATTTTATCTTCTACGGCCCTCGTAGCGAGGGATTGCATGATCGGACGCCGTAAAACCGAACCTCGACCATATCTTCAACCCCTCTCACTTTCTTATTCTGCGATCCATTCGATCAGCCTCCTGCTATTTCCATTCGCTCAACTAGCTAAAGGCCACAACGCTGGGCCATCGGCGTCTCCCTTCAGAAATGGCAGCTTATAAAAACGAAAATGTAACGTTAAGGAAATGCAATAAATTCACGCTTTACATTCTAAATCGCAACCAGTTTCTAAATGACAACGTTATGCAAATTTTCTGACATTGTTAGTTATCATGGGTCATTTGCGATTGAGATGGAAAACAGGAATTGTCAGCAGGGGAATGCGTTTCGTGTCTGCGAGAAGGTCCGGTTCGAACGGTTCGCGGTTTGCTAATAACGTTCGTGACTCCGTGACGGTTTTCTACGTTCCAGCTACCAGGAGATAGAAGGTAGACGAGATAAGAAGTGGCTGGAAAGAAAGTGAAGAAAGGGTAGGGAAGGAGAGGTTGGAAATCCATGGATCGCCGCTCACGATCCCGTCGTTTGTCTCGCGGCTAAGGCAGACGTTTCAGCCCGTGCACCACGATGGAATTTCAAGGCACGAAACGAGTTCCCCTCGCGGCTCGACCTCTGCACCTCGTGCAGCTCCAGATCGTGACTTCGCCCGCTCACGGAGAACGATCCCGTGGCCCTTCTTCGTGTTCCACGTATCTGCCACCGCGAATCTTCTCGGAGAACCGGTCAATCCCGCTCACGAAGGCTTTCGGATTTCTTGGAACTGTGGCGTTCACGAAAACTACCTTCATCTAGTTGCAATCCTCTTTTTATTATATCATTAACTCGTATCATTAGTGTTTATACGCTTGAGATGAGCAGAAAAGCACGAGGCATGTATGAAATGTTGAGAAAAGGAGGAAAGTTTTAAATTTACAAAAAGAAATTAATATATTATTTCAAAGATACGCAAGTGCACGGATGATTTCGATCATTAACAAAATTTTACACGTATGAATTTCTAAAATTAAAACTTCTATTTTTGAATTTTTCTCCTCGAATACTATTAGAATACATTTATGCTCTCCAAAGTAAAGTTCAGTCGAATTTAGTCCGAGTAAATCAACAATATGAAGTTTAATTTCAGCTGAAGATCAGTCATCCAGGTTGCAACATCAGAACGTAAGATGTACCGTGAAGAATCACGATGGCACATCAGAGCGAGGAGCAGTAATTAGTCAAATGAGCAAACGTCTTGACCACCTGCAGTGAAGCAGGACCCGAAATTATTGGCCGACTGGCAGAGTAGCATGCGGTAAAGCCGCGTAATGATAGTAATTATTATTATTTCGTCGCACGTGAGTAGCCAGACAAACCGCTCCCTTTTCGGGAAGGATTTTTATGAAGACATGCTAATTGTTGCCGCTTCGCGCGGACAACGTTGTCCACTTTGTAATTTCTCATGGCCGTCAATTTCGTTGTTGCCAGTTATTAAATCCTTGCCCCGGGCTCCTTCGCGTCGTAAAATGTGTTAATCTAATTTATACGTTCAATTGTGAACGAATAAAGAACGCGGGGTCGTTGAAGAAGAATTAACGTCAACGAGTGTAACTTTTAATTCTGAATAATTCCAGTATCGTGACAAATCGATTTTTCGATGACAAGTGTTATCGAATGGTACAATTTAACCTTTCCGAGCGATACAAATGCAGTGGTCTTATCAGTGTGAAATGCAAACACCTACAAAAATGTAAATATTTGATATTTTCACCATGTACGAAGATTATCAGCACACTGTGATCGATGTAACGAAATTCACGACTGTCGAATCAGTAAATACGGTAAAATCGAAGATAATAATATAGTTGTTTAATTTTTATGTACGAGTGTTATGTACGAGCGTGTCAAAGGGTTAATCTAGCTTCACGAAATGTTTATTGCTCTTTCAGATATTTTCATGAAGCAATTTTTCATCATAACCCTTTCGATTTTGAGTTTCATGAAATTCTCCAGGGCAAAGCGTGTTCTGAGGTCAAGGACAAATTATTGGTAGCTTTATTATACCACCAACCACCCCACGAATGCCACTTTGATTCGTTGGAAGATTGATCAAAGTGCATTTCGAAGGTAAGCCTGCGTACCATGGGACTAATCAATGCTTTCAGCTCTTTTCTCCTGCATCCTACGTCGCTCATTTCCGAGTGGATCGCAAATTGTTGGTTACGTTACAGAGAGAATCGAAAACATACGCTTCAAGATGGAAGAAGGATCTTTTCAGCAACGAAACAACCGAGTCAGGAAATCAAATGTTTACGTGGTTCGTCGGAACGAAAAAGAAAGCATTCTCCCTCCGGGAGGTTTGGTGAAAATTTAACGCGGAGTATCGTATAAGGCGACTGTGAATTTCTGCGTAAATATATGAATCAGTTGACTTAGCGATAACTTTCAGACACAAAATATGGAAACCTGAAACGTCTACTTTAGTGATAATTTCATGTTTGGTACGCAAAATCTTGATAACTCGTATTTGGTGTAGCTACCGCTTCTAGAATGATTTCATAACATAAAGTTGTCGCAAAATAGACCTTATTTTATATCAATTTAAAGCTTAAAGTTTGATGAAAGTAATTAGTTACATGCACCTTTCATTACAGTTCTCAATACAAAATGGCAGGTTGTCAAAAAATCGTCTTACTGCTCATTACACGGTAATTGATAATAACCAGCCATTTTGTATTAAGGACATTAATGAACAGTGCATGTATATAATAATTATCAACAAATTTTAAGCTTCGAATTAATATAGAATAAGTGCTATTTTATAATACTTTTGGATCATAAAATTGTGTCAGACTTTGGATATTATAAAATTAACAATCAAATTCTTTTCGTTTGGCAACCATTTCATATCTGTTTAAAATCGCTTCTATTGTTTCATTTCAAATCGATTTTAAATCGATTTCGACACTGATCGAGGAGGCCAGGACAGCCACGAAAACGGAAAGAAAGGGAAAGATCGCGAAGATAAAGCGAACGTCGAGATTCGTTGCATTGTGCCGCGTCGAAGATGCCGGCGTGACTTTAACGCCGGCAGCGATCCTCGAGATCCTTATCCTGGCGATCTACCTGCGCCATCCTGGCTTCGTTCGGCTGAAAGTGCTGCCGGTGCCATTTTTCGAGGCTTACTTACGGCGTGCAATGGTACAAAGAAGCTACCAGCAACCGGGATTCTCGATCTTTGCGAGTATCTTGAAAAATAAACCTGATTCCATGCTGAGATTCGAAATTTTACCATCTGAATCGAATCGACCAAGGATATTGTTCATTTTTTACCGTTTTCGGTCTAGAACATAAATTTTTCAAGATACTTAAAATTATTATAATTTGACCATTTTAACTTGTAAATCGATAATGAAATTCTTTCTGTGCACTTTGATCGATAATATTTGAAGTTTACATTTTTTTTAAATACCCTTCCTCAGTATCGTTAAATCAGTTTTTAAATATTTTAAACACAGCATATAATAAAACGATCGATACAAAAGTTTGAAGCGATTCGAGTTCTAAATTCGTTTGTTTCATCAAATGTTCAGCATAACCAAATCGACATTACAACATGATACATCATACCCGATAGGAGATCTTATCGAAAGTCTTCAATACTCTCCTTTGGTTCGTTCTCAAAATTACACGAGTAGAAATCGGTTTGGAAAAGCAGTTGCTTTGGTGTGAATGATTAAGAAAGTTCTGTCATCGTTCAATTAATTACAGATAGAACAATGAACCGCTTGAAATTCGTACTCGGTATCAACGTTCCTTGTCGTATACCATCCAGTAAGAATTATTTCAAATACATATATAAACATGTTATTTATACTTTCTTTAGTTTTCTTTACATAGTAATTCTAAATTGAAAATTGGTAATTTTTTGAACTTAGCACATTATAAAAATTGACAAGCATGATCTTTCCGGGTAATCTCTTTTTCAATATAAAAAGGAATATTAAAATTCTAAGTATTCAAAGCGTTAGGCCCATCTTGAACTTAACAAACTATGTATAATAAATTGTATTTTTGTCACTCAAAGGTACTTCAATAATATCCGAAAATCATACTAAAGAAATATGCAAGAAGCACAGTTCAGAGGTGCAGCTGAGGTCATTATACAAACCTGGACGTTTCTTCTCATCACGAACGCGAAGGACGAACGATTTCAGAAGCTTTCACTACGCAGGACCATCGAGAAACGAAATGCTATACGCGTCCCAGCGTATCAAGCTGAAGCCAGACTTGATTTCGTCAAAGAGAACACCATTGGGGAGAAACTATCCAGTGGAATTCGTCCAGCGACGTCGTAATTCGACGTATCAATCCAAAAAATCGAGCATCGGCAAACATCACTTTGTACAGTCTAATCCGAAGACACTAGAAACTGCAAAAGATAGGAGGGGCTCGAAGATCTATGAAAAGTACGAAGCTGCTTCTTTTCTGGAAAAAGAGCCTCGAACGTATGCTCAAATGATAGCCAGTTACAGTCAGACGATGTATACTGAAACTGGCTCTGGTATTCTAAAAGACGGTCTAAGCACGGCTATGGTTAATGGAGTCCACAGAAGTCCGTTCAGCACCTCGTCAGCGGCATCCTTGAAGTGGAAGAACAGATCGAAGGGAGTCAAAAACGGGTGTCTCCGCGTTACCAATCCTAATACGCTCAATCAAGAAGCGAAATTTAGCAGCGACACTTCAACAATGACCTACGAGTGTCGAAACGATCGCAAAAACTTCATCATGAGTGATTTTGAAGAAAGTGGCAAGCTGGAACGAGCATCCTCTTCGTACGCGACGATCATAGAAAGGTACAGCAACGAGTTGGAGTTCGATGATTGGAACAGCAGTCCGTTACCGAAACGTAACGCACCCATGGATCTCAACGACTTCCCCGCGTTGATGACGAATACTAAACACAGACCCATGAAACTTCGATCTGACAGGAATGAAAGAATCACTTCGGGTGAGAGTAAAAAGACGGAGGAGAAGAGTCAAACCGACTGGATATCGAAAATGGAAGACGTGATAAAGGACCTGAAGAAAATCACTTCGAAGAACGAGATGGTTGATTCGAAGTCAAGCGAGAAATGGGCGCTGCAGTCGGTGAACGAGCACGCGGAATGGATGGACAGGGTGGTCGGCGCCCATAAGAAGGGAAAATTAAGAAAGGGCGACAGCGATGAGCCGAAGAGTTCAACGACGATGCAAGAATCAGTGGTTGACGCAGCGAACGAAAATCGTGGCTCTAAATCAAACCCCATAACAAGTTACATAAATCGTGGATCAATTGGTTCGAGTACGAGCTCCTCGTCCCAAGGACCGACGGGCACCGCAACAGGGTCGACTAAACAGCCGCAAATTGAACTTCGAATGACACCTTCGCAAAACGAGTCCGTGGTGTCCATCAACGTCGACGAGCTGGCAAAAACGGCGGGCACCAGCGCCAAGGAGCAGCTGTCGGTGGTCATTTCGAACAACGCGAAGCGAGACACGAGTGCCAGCAACGTTCGTTCGAACTTCGACTCAATGCAGATATCCATCAGCGAGAACACGGTTCCTGTCAAGCAGCTCGAGTTTTCAATTAATGGCAAGCCGGTGTCTGAGTTAAAGAGTATCGTCGCAAGAGCGAATAAGCTGGATGTATTCAGCTCGATGGATAAAGTGGAGATCAGGATACCTCAAACGGAGAACACTTTCTCGAAACAGCAAACGAACACGATGAGGACGGGAACGAATCCGTCACAAGTGTTGAATCTTCAAATCGCTGCGAAATTTAACGAACCCCGTAGTCAGCAGCCCAAAGATACTGGGATAAAGACCTCTACCACTGCTACTCCGTCTTCTGTACCTTCGTCATCGTCTAATCCACCGAAACCAACACCAACGCCCACGCAAGTTCCTCCCTACAAACTTCCAAGAATGCAAAATTTCGCTTCAAAGACGAACGATGAGGCGGCAAAAATAACGAAAAGTCCAGAAGATGTCGCCACGACGAAGAAAATTAATGATTCACCTTTAGAAGATAGTAGAGAAAAGATTGGCACATTATCAGCCGTGGAATCTGACGAGGGTGCGGTTCAGAGAGCAAACGCGAAAGTGGCATCGAACGCTTCTCAGCCTTCATCGATGAATGACAATTCTAGGCCGGTGATTTCTAACGACGATCGCACTTCTTCGAATATTATTCCATGGTGGTCGTCCGAAGATTCCTTCAGGAAGATTAAAAAGAAAGGGGACACTTCGAAAAATGTATCCGCGTTCGATGAGAAGTTAATGAAGAAGATCGAAGGAGATACCGGTGCGGAGAGAAAATTCGACCAGACGTACAAACCCGGTGGCCAATTTATCGATCTTGTAAATGTTCCAAAACTTGAAACACCCGCGAAAGATTTGACTCCAAAGAATCTGCTCTCTAAAGAAAAGAAAAATTCATCCGATGCTGGTAATTTTCAAAAAACTGAACCACCTGTAAAGGATTCAGCAACGAAACCTGTACCCAAAGAAAACGAAGATTCGTTTAATTCTTCTAATGAGAATTTTCGCGCCGTTCGGGTCCGAAGTCTCCGACAATCTGCGAGAATTAAACGTAGCAGTGGCGCGAGAGCTTCGAACCAGATGAATCGGGTGAAGAAAGTCAGATATCGTGTGAAAAGGCCAAGAACTACGAAGGTTGTTAATAAAGGAATAGAAAAGCCGATCGTTTCTGCGGTGCGATCTCCGAAGATCATCAAATACGTTCCCGTGAATGCAAAAAGGATTTCTGGAAACGAAAAATCAGAAACTAAAGCGATTGCTGCTGGTCCGAAAAATGAAGAGGCATCCAAAGCGGGTACGAAGGTCGAGAAAGTTGCTGAGGATGCGTCAACGACGGGTAAAACAAATGTACAGGATTCAAACACGGTATTCAAAACGAAAGACTTAAAGAAACCAGCTAATGAATCTGCCGATATTTCAGCAACCTCTTCAGCTGCTAAAGAACAAGGAGAAAGAGATGAAAGTAGAAGGGATTTGCCAAGTAGAAGAGAATCGATCGAAGACGAGCCAGATCAACGAATTAAACAAATTCTAAAATCCCTGAAGCCGATCGAGAAGAGGAAGGACGGTACTTTGATAGATTACGGTGTGGTGTTGCCTTCGAGAAAATCATCGACGAAGTTTGGACAGGTTTCGAAGTCCCGCAGTATTAGTAAATTTGATATGAAAAAGGAACCATCGAATCAGGAAAAGATTGTTGAACCACAGAAAGTAACCTCCACGAAAAAGAAAATGTTAACAGAACCTAAAAGTGAGGCACAGGTGAAAATTGTAGAACCAGAGAAAATATCTTCGGTTAGAAAACCAAATGAAATAACGGATTTTGAAAAGAAATATACAAAAAATGAATTGAGTACATCTAAGGGAAAGAAAGAAACTTCTGAAGAAAAATCTGTAATTTCAGTGAAAAAGAATAATTTGATAAAGCATGATACCCCGAAATCTATGGAATCTAAGAAAAATTCTGATAATCAATCAGAGAAAGTGAAAACTACGCAAATAGAAGGGACATCGTTCAAAGCCAACGACAAACCAAAAAATGTATCTTCCGAGGATAGAATTAATTCATCGAAAGTGACAGCCCCTAGAGATGAAGGATCACAAAGTCCTTTAAGACCGAAAAATAAAGAGAAGCCATTAGAAGGTACATTTTCTGTACAATCTTCCAAAGCTTCTACAAAATCCAGTGATACTAATGTCACAAATGTTTCTAAATCACAGTCAGCTGATAAATCAAAAAATATTACATCTCCTGAAAAACAGGATTCAAAAATTACAAAATCAGAATCTCAAGAAAAGGCAAAATTAAAAGGGTCATATTCTGTACCACCTTCTAAAGTTTCCATAAAGGTCAGTGATATTAATGCCAATGTTTCTAAATCACAGTCGCCTGATAAATCAAAAAATATTACTACATCTCCTGAAAAACAGGATTCAAAAATTACAAAATCAGAATCTCAAGAAAAGGCAAAATTAAAAGGGTCATATTCTGTACCACCTGCTAAAGTTTCCATAAAGGTCAGTGATACTAATGCCAAAGTTTCTAAATCACAGTTGCCTGATAAATCAAAAAATATTACTACATCTCCTGAAAAACAGGATTCAAAAATTACAAAATCAGAATCTCAAGAAAAGGCAAAATTAAAAGGGTCATATTCTGTACCACCGTCTAAAATTTCCATAAAGGTCAGTGATACTAATGCCAATGTTTCTAAATCACAGTCGCCTGATAAACCCAAAGATGTTACTAAATCTTCTGAAAAACAGGATTCAAAAATTGCAAAACCAGAATCACAAGAAAAAAGAAATTTAGGATCACTTCCTGTACAACCTTCTAAGATTTCCATAAAGCCCAGCAATACTAATATTACCAATGTTTCTAAATCACAGTCGCCTGATAAACCCAAAAATATTACTACATCTTCTGAAAATCAGGATTCAAAAATTACAAAACCAGAATTTCAAGAAAAAAAAAATTTAGGACCACTTCCTGTACAACCTTCTAAGATTTCCATAAAGCCCAGCAATACTAATATTACCAATGTTTCTAAATCACACTCGCTTGACAAGTCAAAAAATATTGCTAAACCTGTGGAAAAACAGAATTCGAAAAGTACAAAATCAGAATTTCTAGAAAAGATAAAATCTGGACCACTTCCTGTACAACCTTTTAAGGATTCCATAAAGGCCAGCGATACTAATATCACTAATTTTTCTAAATTAAAACCACTTAATGAACCAATGTCGCGAGCACGATCTGCTGAACAGACAGAATCAAAGCGCACTCTAAAGTCAGTAGTTCCAGAAAAGGTTCCATTAGAAGGAACCATTCCCTCTTCTCGCGGTCTAGATAGAACGGCAGCCAGAATCGACCCTCTTCCCTTAATGGGTACTATTGTCTCTCCTTCTCCTCAGAAATCAAGCGATAAAGGAACGAAAAACGATGGCAAATCTGAAGAGTCAAACGTTCGATCAGAAAAGAAAGTGATCGATACCATAATGGCACCTCTCGAAGGAACCATTAATAATGAGTCTACAAAAAAATTGGATAATCTGATGAGTCTCGATAGTACCAGAAAAGGTAAGAAGACAATTTCTGAAATCATTAAACAAAAAAAAGAAGAACTTGGTACGAAATCAAGCACAAACTCTTCTTCAAGTAAAAGTGGAGGCAGTTCTGGACCCAATGGCCCTGCAAATCCTCCTACAGGACCTGCTGGTCTCCGATCTTCAAGGATGTTTACTGTGTCACTAATTTGCTCGAAGACAACTGTTTCGTGTATGCCGGAGGAATCGGATAGAATTGAGGAAGAAATGTGTAATGGAATATCTAACCAGGATTATAATCAAGAAACAAAATTGTATTCGAACGAAACTAAGAGATCAGAGAAGGATATATTATATTCATCCTGGTTGCAACGTTTCGAGAATAAACTTTGCGATGGCAAGATTGTTTGAAATGAAGGCTTTCGTACGATAAACGAAGATTCTTCAGAGATTTTTATATATTATTTCTACTCGCTAATGTAACTGCTGAAACTTTTTATTTATGTTTATTTGTAATATTAGATTATTTTATATTATGTCTTTTGAGATATCACGTGTACTGTATACAACGAATTTTATCACAGAAATTGTATTAATAATAGACAAATATAAAACCAACCTTGGAAAATATTTCCTAAATTAAAACTATTTAAATTAATAAGCCTTTGATAATAAATAATTAATTTGCTACTGAATCATCGAATCACTTTGAATCAGCTCGAGCACCAAGATTAACAACAAAACCTACGCGCCGATCTGACAACGATTTACTCGCGTATTCGCGTAATCGAGTCCCTCGAACGGGTTACAAGGGTAATGAAGAGTGACAGGACAAGAATTTTCGATGTAGCTTACACAAGAGTAATCGTCTAGCCTGTCCACGACGTTTTACAAGCGGAGGGAGCTATGAGAGTGGTCCACGATTGGGTAATTAAAATTCTCATTAAAGCGAACGGCGGCATCTTAAAACGCAGCTCGGACAATGGTCTCGGAACGAGGCCGCGAGTCCTGAGGGTAAATGGGAGCGAGGAAGGGCGAAGAGGCGAAGGGAAGGGGGCCGGTGAGAGGCAGAATGGAACGGAGCTAACAGGCCATGAAGAAAGAAGAAACCCGTGCCGAAGTCTCGTTTACAATCGAGGTATATATCTGGAAGAGACGAAAGAGTCAGCAGCGTTCGTATCAGGCTTGTTCCTCTGCACCTCGTAAAATAAACGAATCGTCCTTGTCCAGATTTCACAGATCGCTGACGAATCATGAAGATGGAAGGCTGGTATGCGTCGACAATGTCCCTGAGGGTCAACGACGGCACGCTAAAGCTCGAGTAACCGTGTATATAATGGAGCAGGTATTTCACGTTCGCCAACAGACGATGGTCGATCTTTCAGAGCGTAGTGAAAAATTGTCGGTTGATTTTCATCGCGAAGGACGATCGAGCCGAGGCTGAAACCGCTCGCTCGAGGATGCATTCGGCGTGTAAGCATCGATAAAGCTTCGCTTTAACCTCGCCACGTCGGGACGCATTACTTCGAATGACTGGCAACCTGCCAGAACGAGGTTGTACGCTCGGCAATCGCTTGTGTAATGACGGGTTTCGGGACGTGGCACGAACCAACGGCGCCCTCAATGATGGCCGCTCCACCCAGTATGGTTCGCGTTTCGTGTTGCACCGTTCAAATTGCCGGCCGCCACGAATTCGAATAATCACCGGTATCGCAGAGATGCGCCGATTGCTTCAACTGCCGCATTCAAACGGGATGGTAACTTGCACCGGTTTAATCGAACGCGAGCAAATTCTCCGACCAATGGTACCGTTCCTTTCGGATCACACGGTACGTTTATCTCTTACCTCTCGTTGCGAAAAGCTATGTAATTCCAGGGAAATTGAGATGAAGAAATAAAAGGATTCTTCGTATGAATAATAAGGACGATTTTTCAAGTGACCTACTTTCATTTTAACGAGCCTGTATCACTGATTTCTATATAATGTACTAAACTGCGAGCTTGCTTTTTATTAAATGAAGATAATTGGTATCGTGCTCGGGATGGCTGTCATTTGTCGATAGATACAAATGGGAAATTTTAAGGATTTAACTAGGAACTTTGATCGTTCTACCTCGATACGCCGAGGGTTAAGTAGCTGTCACGGTAACATGGATACGGTTGGTTGAAGAATGATTTTTGTGGATTTCGATATTCATGGGGTAACCGAGGTTGCTGCGGTTGAAGAAAGACTTTGCGGTTGAACGAGCGAAGTTCAGTAAAAGTGGCTTAATCGTTGAGTGGTTTAGATAGTGATCCGGAACAATCGATTACTCCATGACATTGTAATCTACGTCGATTATTTTGTCATCTTACTTATTCGCAATTAATCAGACCAGCAGTATTCATTTTGTAATATCCTTCTGAAGCTAATTGGACTTGAATAAAAAATTAACATTTTCACTCATTATTGCACATAAAATTGGTACACGTAACGCGTCGTTTAATTAGTTGAATCATGCGAGAAGCTCGACTACTTAGCCATAATGACAAAGCTCAGTTAACAACAATAGCGACGTTTATTGACGAACGAATTGTGGTTGCAGAATGTAAGGCACGTTGATTACGAGGAGCAATAAGTATTCATACGGTTAGGAATGTAGAGGAGGCCAAGCATTTTTCGCCCGGCATTCATCACGGCCCTGAGCGTCCTTCCTCGGTGGTTCAACCTCTTCGTGGCTCCTTTTTTTACCTTCCACGACGACCCTCTTCTCTCCTTTCTCGTCCTAACGAAAGCTGATCCGATCCCACCGGGGCCAGGTTCATCCCTGGCCGGGGCTCGGTTTTGATTTATCGAGGCGCTGCTTTCACGGTCTGTTATAAATATCCAGGAACAACCTTGCTCCTTCGTCCATTGGTCATCCAGTCGACGGAAGAGGTGTCCCGCTGATTTTTTCCGCCTCTCCTCGAACGCTGGCTAAGCTTTCCAACCTCCTGGTATTCGAAGGATCCGGAGATGAGGAAGATCGATCGGTCGACGTTCTGTCTTCTTGGGTGTGAGAGATACCGATGCTCCAATTGGTCCGAGACAAGTGGTATTGTGGCGAGAATTTGCGTGTCGGCCTTGTCATCCTGTTTGTAGAACTTGAAGGCAGGGAGATAAGCATCGAAGAATTGAGAATATAATATAGGTGTGAACGAATGAATTATAAAGAATTTAACTTTAACAAGTCCTTTGTCATAATTAACAGGGAAATATAAGTGATTGAATATTGGAATCTTTTAATGACATCATCATAGATTCCATCTTTTTTCGATTAACAAATTACATGACTTTGCAATTAACCCTTTACACTCGAATTTTTCTCGGCTAAAACTTACAGTAAGGCTTTGTCAGTGCCTAGTTGTTCTAATATCACAATTGTTCAACAATGTGACATTTTACAGTTAAAACGTTTACTCAAGAATCCATCGAAAGAAGAAAGAAACTATTCTTTCATCGGTCTCCCATAAAGTTTCTTTTTTCTCAAACGTCTCATGCGTTGCCACACACCTATTAATTCCTTTCAAGTAAAAACGTCCGTTCGCTGCAAGTGTCGATGCCATACCTGACCAGTCACTCGTCTAAGAAAACCGCACGCGCAATGGTTTTATCGTGAGATTCGATGCTGCAAGGACAACGAGCTACCACCGTCCATGCTGGATCCTGCATTTCCAAGCGCATTCTATGTTTGTTTTAATTATGCACCGTGTCGCGGAACTTGTGCTTCATTCACCGCACACGTCGTCGACCTTTCGTGCCAATCGTGATGCACATCGATCCCTCATCCGGGTTATTTCGATCGATTTCATAGTTTCGAACGCTTCTGCCTTTGGAATCCGGCAGAGCATCGCATTTCTACGGAACGCGTCCACATACGTCGTTTGATAAATTATTTACGAGCATCTACGCGGCCTTCGCGGTAGATCTTCAGGGATTTTCCTTGTGCCTGCTGATTCAGTTGTCGACGTTCTTCAGATTCTAGCTTATTGCTCGTTTGCTGCCAAGCGGATGTCATTTGGAAATTATATTCGTCTGGAATTCCACGCTTGTAATAACTTTCAGGCACTAAAACTCAGGGGTGTATCGAACGAAGAAACGAATAATGAAACCATAAAACGAACGTTTCTACGTTACGAGTCAAGTCGTTTGTTTAAAAATTTTATTTTTCCAAAACCATCTCACCGGTTAAGGATTATAGAAAGAGGTGACATTCTTTGGAACGGCATTCTTCGGAATTTAAATTAAAACCTGCCTGAAGTGCATCTTGAAAAATACGTGAAAACTTTTGAAATGATTTGGAAATTCGCCAGAAACATACCTGCAGTGTATCATAGTCGGTCGATTCGATATTCCTCGATTTGCTGAGCGAACGACCGATCGATCACGCACGCTTTTTACCGAGCCTTTATTAATCGAAGATTACAATCCCTCTCGGGCAAATCTCTCTTTTCTCTTCTCTTGCCAGCCTGGGCCTTCTTCGGCGCCTTCGCCTGTACCGTAATCCTCTCTCGTTTCTGCTCGCGCGGCAGCGGATTAATTATTTTTCTGCTTTCGCGAAGGACCGGGTTCACGGTCGTTTCGTCGATCTTAGCAACATTTGGTCGACCGTAATCCCTTCGAATTTTCGAAACACACACGGAGGAACGGGCCAGGAAGGCCGAGTTTCGTTTCGCCTTCGGTAAATCCTCTTTTCGGGTACCCGTGTGTTTTCGTCTCGCGAAAAGTCTCTCCTCCCGATTTAATCCGATCGAACGGAGGGAATGCAGACTCCGCTGGAAACGGGGACGAAAAAATGAAACGGAGGGAGGAGAGATAAAGCCGCGAAATCGCGACGCTCGAGAAAGCTAATCCGCTTACGGCACGAGCCGAGGAATGCCATCGCGCGGGGTCGATAAGGTTCCGAGGGACACGGTTAAGTCGCAAAATTATAGAAACATCAAGGAGTCTTATATAAGTTAGATACGTGCTTATTTCGAGAACGAGCTTAATCCAAGAAAGATCTTTCTTAACGGCTTGTCTGGAGTTACCGGACGTTCGGGGAAAATTGTTATTCAGCGATGAAACTGATATTTGAGACGCGCCCAGGAAAGGAGGATGAAATTGTTCGCCGACATTTAATGATGCCTCTTGGGGTAACTACGTATTTGTAGAACCTGAATAAAAGTATACATATAAATTTGAAAGGGTTTGCCAATCTTGATTATAACAAATTGCAATAAAAAGGGCCGGCTGTAGCCCCAGAATCCTCCTAAGTCTTTTTTGAAAAGATTAGATGCTATTTAATTTTATTTAGAATAAATTTCAATTTCTATCAAAGGTTTTATAGCCTCCGATCCTCAGAAACCTTAATCCGGTCTTGAAAAGGGGTAATCTTTGAAATAATAATAGAAACACCGTATACGTTGTTTATGGTTGTTCCTTCCTCGCGTGTACACCAAATGAGCAGATGTACAAGAGCCCTTACAAGGTCCACGGTGCGTCAAACGAAGGCTACCGTCCGATCGACGCGTAGAAATGGCTTCACGCATTTTTCCACGGTCCGTTTGCTCGACACGGAGGATCGTTCTCGAGGAGGAGGCGAGCGAAACCGCCGCGGCCGGCAGGCAG